TTCCCAGCTAATTTCATCTGGTCAAGTCTTGTGACCCGTCAAAACACAGAGGAGTTTTAGGTGTTTGCTCTAGCTGCAATACAAAGGCCATACAAATTAAACCTTGTGCAATTAAACAATGACAAAAATGACAAGCTCACTTAACCCAAGTAGGCCGGGTAAATTTCATTCCAGGGCTACAGTAGTGGATCACTGATCACTTAATCTCACAGTTCTTACGTGTTAAACAGATTCCGGGTGGAAACATGAGCCAGAATCGGATCAGGGATTTCATTGAGCAGATCATTTCAGTGTAACGCTCTTATCAATCGTATGCAAGGCTGTTTATTAATTTAGAGCTAAAGTTCAGCTAAGTGTTTCAATGTCCCTTTTACATCAAATTGTCTCGTATGCTCATCAATGCTACATTTATTTGATCAAAATACAGTAAAAACTATAATACTGTGAAATTTAAAACAACTATTTTTTATTTTTTACTATATTTTAAAATGTAATTTATTCCCGTGATGCAAAGCTGAATTTTCAGCATCATTACTCCGGTCTTCAGTGTCACATGATCCTTCAGAAATCATTCTAATGTGCTGATTTGCTGCTCAGGAAATATGTCATATTATTATCAATGTTGCTTAATGCTGCTGTGCTTATTTTTGTGGAGACCATCATAAATTTTTTTTCAGGATTCTGTTATGAATAGAATGTGAAAAAATTTATTTTTTGTAACAATGTAAAAGTCTTTGTCACTTTTGATCAATTTAATGAGTCCCTGATTAATAAAAATAAAAAACATATAAATAAAAATAAATACAAAAAAGTATCAATTAACATGATACTAAACACGTTTGTATAGACTAGGTTTAAAATACGAAGCTCAATTTTATGTGCTGAATATGGTGAAGCCTACAGTGTATAGTGTATAAAGTGGTATAGAAAGGAATCACCCCCTTTAAAATAATCACATTGTGTTGCTTTAAAGCCTGAAATGAATACGGACACAGTTTTTGTTTTATCCAGTTGTATTTACTCTCATTTTGGTCCAGTCAGCATGAAAAGAGCTTTCCTGAAACATTTCAGTCCTTGGTAGTGCAACTGAAGCAAACAATCAACTATGTTTGACAAGGCACTGTCAAAAGATCTCCAGGATAAAGTTGTGGACAGGCACAAGTCAGGAGGTGGATACAAAAAAATGCCTAGGCTTTATCAATGCCTAGAAGCACAGTGAAGTCTATTATTAAGAAGTGGATGGTATTTTGTACAACACAGACCCTCCCTGGATCAGGACGTGGCTCCAAACTGGATGAAAGAAGAGAAAACTGGTCAGAGAGGCGACCAAGAGGCCTACAGCAACTCTGAAGCAGTTGCAGGAATTTATTAAAGAGTGGTCATTGTGTGCATGTGACAACAATATCACATATGCTCCACAAATGTGGCTGGTATGGGTGGGTTGCGAGAAAAAAGCCACTCCTCAAGAAAGGCCACATGCAGTCACGACTGAGCTTTGCCAAAACACACCTTCAAAAACACACCTAACCCTTACTCTCAACAGAAAGTTGTCAATGGGAAGAAGGTTTACCTTCCAACATGACAATGACCCAAAGCACACAGCAAAACTGACCACACAGTGGTTGAAGGAGAAAAAGGTGAATGTCCTTGCATGGCCTAGTCAGAGCCCAAACTTAGAGACATATTATGCCCCTTTTTATAATATGTAATATAAGTCTCTGGTGTCCCCAGAATGTGTCTGTGAAGGTTCAGCTCAAAATACCCCAAAGATCATTTATTATATCATTTTGAAAATGCCTATTTTGAGTGGAAGCAGAAACACGCTGTTTTTCGTGCCTGTCTTTTTAAATGCAAATGAGCTGCTGCTCCCCGCCCCCTTTTCCAGAATAGAGCTGCACCATTACAGCTTGTACCTGCTAAAAACATCTGTTTTGGTTCTGATTATCATGTTTATCACGCTGAAATCATGCATTTTAAATCATATTAGTTTAAACTAATGATATACAGTTTTCTGAGTGCACACGTACAGAAAGCGGCTGTCACAGCATGTGAGTACTAAACTAAGATCTCTTTCACAAGTTTACATTAAAAACCCACGAGTTACAAAAACAGTCGGTTATGTCTGAAGGTAAACAGCTGGGAAATAAATCGCATGTTTATTTTAGATCTGTGTGGCAGCACCAATATACAATAAATAAATAATTAAATCCTCTGCTCTCTTGTCTCCTCTGAGGCTGGGTCTGTAAATAATGTTCTGTGCTCATCTGTGCAGCCAAAGACAGATCAGTTAGCATGTTCTGCTCAAACTTTCGCCATGGCATTAGAGCTGGTACACCATTGTCGCTTGCAAAATTAAAATGACGGCGCCATGGGTGGAAATTTACAGATACAGGGGCGGTAATATTATAATGAGATCCCTTTGCAACGTCACTAGGGGAGCGAAATCAGCCGTGCTCGTTTTTTCAGAGGCTTGCAGAAAAATGCTTACCAAAACAAAGTTACTGGGTTAATCTTTTTCACGTTTCCTTGGATGGTAGATACACTGGGGACCTGATTATAGCACTTAAAACCTGGAAAAGTCAGATTTTCATGGTATGCCACCTTTAAAGCCCATTGAAAATCTGTGGAATGGTTTGAAGACTGCAGTCCACAAATGCTCACCATCAAATTTAACTGAACTTGAGCAGTTCTGCAAAGAAGAGTGGGCAGTTAATGCAGTCTAGATGTGCAAAGTTAGTAGAGACAACATATCCCAGCAGACTAAAGGCTGTAATTAAACCAAAAGCTGATTCAACAAAATACTGACACTAGGGGGTGATCCTTTTTCCAACTCGGGTGATTCTGTTTTTGATTTTTTTTTTGACATGTTGGTGTTATATCTTTCACTTGGATGTTATAAGTTGCACTAAATACAGCTGGATAAAACAAAAACTGGCTGCAAAGCAACAAAATGTGATTATTTAAAGCCATCATTTCTAGCCAAAGACCCAAAGTAAAAAACCTAGACAAAAGACCCCTGTTTTAAATGGCCACATCATAGGCTTCACTACTTAGTTCCATTATACCTCTGAAGAATTCATAACATGAAGTAACACCGAAATAAAAGCTGCAAAACATCTAACTAAGGCTTTAACCATAATGTTTTGCATAATCAGGGCTAAAGACTTTGCCAAAACATTTTCTCCTTGGACAGATTGTCCTGTCTGATTATGAGCGCTCTAAAACCTCTATATAACCTTAGACATGTGACCGGTTTCTAAATATAGAACCGAGAAAAAATAGATTTCCCCCAAATGTCTTGTTTAATTTTTTCATTGGTTGAAGAAGGGGATTATGGGTCATTAGAACAGCCACTGAAGCCCTTAGGCCAAGCAAACCAATAGTGACATGTCTCCATCTAAAGGATAGTTTATTTTTCTCTTCTGTTAATGGGACGTTCCCTCATTTGCAAGGTGATGGGCCATTTAGGCAAAAGGTCTTGGCATTCATTCAGCAGTTGTACTATTTGCAAACACACACGGCAACGATACCAAGAGGGGTCACTCAGAGCGGGCAGTAATATTGTACACAATGATGAGTAGCAAACAAGTAGAGGCAAAGGTTGCTCCTAGAAATAGCTCATGTAAACAAGATGAGAGGAGACAAACTGACGACACCTCCCTGCTGTGAAAAAACAATAACAAAAAAAAAACAAACAAACAGATTAAACCAGTCTTTGCTGGTCTCACCTGGTCTCCCAACCTACTTAGTCCAACAATCTGGCTTGATTTTCCTTTAGTGGCTTACTGACCCTAGTCTGCCTATTTAATTGGTGTTTCGCTGTGGATGGCTTCTCTTCTGTTCGAAGTTCTTTGTTGCAAAAGAAGACCTTTTGTAACATTGATACCGTGTCCTTGTCGTCACAGTAAAGTGGTGAAAGGTAATTTACTGTAAGAGTGTGGCTGTTCAGAGTTTGTGTAAATTCAAGGCATCATCACAAGATTAATGGTGCTCGCAGTTATTTTTCACACAGTGCACATCACCATGTTGACACATCTGTTCTGAGACCACAAAGGACATCAATGCAAATGTTGCTTAAAGCCTTTTGGAGCGCTCTACTACCATATTATACACTGTAAAAATGAAAAGATACTTGAGGCACCATTTAGGGTTTTTCAGATTTACACACTGGTGGAACTTCTAGGCACCTTATGAAGACAGCTCAAATATTCTACCATGCACTAAGAACTTCAATATACATTTCCTCTATTTCTTTCAAAGACTTTCCCATGTGATTTAGGGTTACTGGAGGTACTGTTGTGTTTACAGTTCTTGTAGGAATTTATGGATTCCATTTTGTTCCTCATACCCCTATTCCATAAAAATGGTGCTGTTTTCACATATATGATATTTGTAAATGATATCATATTTTTAACAATACACTTTTATTTTACATAGGAGTTTAAAAGACCTACAAATTTACATAAGCTCCTTTTTCCAAGGACCAAAGGTTATTTTATAATATATATATATATATATAATATGTGTGTGTGTTTAAGAACAAAGATTAAAAAATATATTTACCTAAATTCAGTACAAAATGCCCATGGAAACGTTTTCATTTACATGACCTTTTCAGGTCTAGAAATCACACTTTTAAAATTAGGCTTTTTCCAAGACAATTCTTGAGTGAGAGAATTAAAACAATAATTGCCTTGGTTTTTAGTTGTTTTGGTTTGCAGATGTTTGCAGAGGCCCCTAGTGGGCCCTAGTCGAGAACCACTGATATAGACAAACCTCTTTAATCCATTTACATGCCAATTCTCATTATTTTGATAACCATGTGTGACCGTTTGATCACTATTCACTGTTACACAAACCGTTACATTTAAATGCAGCAGGTTTTAATTGGCCTACTTCCAATGCAAAATGTTTGGTGGTTCTAGGGTATTCCCTCATTTAGTCAGGAACATGCCTCAAATGTCTCATTTACAGTGTTTCCAACCAACCTAGAATTTGGGTTCTGCCAGTGTGAGGAACCTCAAATGGTTCCTCAAGTCTCTCTTCATTTTTACAGCGTAATTCTGCAAGAGCTTCCAGATGATGTTTCCAAGTGTTTTTCTAGGCAGCAGTGACCTGAAACATAGACTTGCCCTAATGCTAAAGCACTAAACTTCCTGCATAACGCGCTGTGGTTACATAAAGGCAGGCTCCAGCTGAGCTTACGTTCAGTGGTATCGTGCCCTGAAGTGACACCGTGCTCAAGGGGAGAATGGGAGGAGACGGTGGCGTAGGCTGGCCGGTGTTCGGTTTCACCAGCTCACACGTGACCGCAATGGCTGCTTGTCTGTTCCGTGCAGTGCATCATTCCTCTATCGCCCAGCGAATGTACGCTACGACAGTTTGCTCGCTTCGCTGAACTATCGGTGTGGCCACTTACCACCCGCCGAAGCGAAATTCCTTTACACGTTCAGCCGAACAGCTCACCGGCTGAGAAGAACCACATTTGGGAGAGAAATTAAAGCGTCTCGGGGTTCAACGTCCACCAACCAACACAGCGGTAGGAGGAGTCAACAGGTATTGGAGCTCTCTATTTACGTGATAATACAATCGCTAGGCTGACAGGTCGTCACATTGATAGCGACTTGACAGATGTGGAGCAGTGAATAGGCTCAGGTGCGCTGTGCTACTTAACTGTAAAGCTGTCCGTTGAGTTTGATCGAAACCGCATACGGGGGGTAATAATGACCGGTCTTCGGCAGCTATGTATTGTTCCCTCACCTGAATGAGCAAATGTGTCGGTGAGAGCTCTTGCAGACGGTCTTTCGTGAAAAGCGTCGCTGCGCTGCACAAGCTGAGCGTCCTGTATCGACTTGAATTTCGTCGTGCGTCGACTTTATTCAAGCTATGTATATTGCTGGCCTTTTAAAATCTTAATCATGTTATGCATTTGATAATATAGGCACATATAACATGTTGAGCGCGATTTAAGTGTGCAGTGCCATGTTAGATCATAATGAATTTAACTGGGTCACAAACAAAAGCAACAAATGCCTCCTATATAAGTAATTTCCTGCGTGGATTAACTCAGCTGAAATAGTTTAAGAGCATTTGGGTCAACATGCAATATTAATACTGAGCATACTGAGCACAATGTCAGGGTTTACTTGCCCAAAGCTGCAATTTAAAGTGATAGTTCACCCGAAATTCAAATTAATACAAGAATAGAAAATGTACTCATTGTCGTGTTGTTTCAACCCTGTATGACCTTCTTTCCTCTGTGTGTGCCTAATAACAGTTCACTTTCGTTACAGTGAAAGTGAATGGGGACTGAGACTGTCATGCTGTCTAATATCTCTTATATTCTTCAGAAGAAAATCTTGAGGAGTGAGTAAATGACAGAATGTTAATTTTAGAGTGTGCTATCCGTTTAACTGCAACAGTATGAGGATGAAATGAGTCACACTTGAGATGCATTGAAACTATACGGCATATTGTGTAAGAAGCGAGGTGTTTTGGGTTAGTTCTGTTTTCGCAGTTAAATGGGAAGTTCCTCAACCATCTGTCTGCAATAGAAAGAGGAATGTGTATGATATTTGCTTCCACTGCCACTTTCATGCCTGTCGTCTGCAGAGACGCATGCCACAAAGCTTGACATTTTGATTTTTTCCGCTCATGAAAGCGTGTGCATGCTCACCATATCACCTCCTACAGTGTTTGTCTCAAACCTTCCATCAGGGCTCTCTAATGTTCTTTGTTGTTCCAAAATAGCAGGGAGGAGAACACAAATCAGAGTGCTGTCCAATGTCCAAGTCCTTGACATTTTTTCAGAAATCTGATTTTTAACAGACCGTGTTTTCACACTGCTGGATATTATTAGGTGACATGCCCCCCCCCCTCCAGTGGATGGATTTTAGCGTAATCTTTCATTAATCATTTCAAATTGTCCACAGTATTGTAAATTGATGTAACTGATGATTAAATATGTTGGATACATGTCTTTAAAGGCTTAGTTCACCCAAAAATTTTAATTCTGTCATCATTTACTCACCCTCATGTCTTTCCAAACACGTAAGACTTTTGTTCATTTTTGGAACACAAATGAAGATTGTTCATCCATTTGAAGTCTATGTAATCATAATTTTTTTGAGTGCTGTCCAATGTCCAAGTCCTTGACATTTTTTCAGAAATCTGATTTTTAACAGACCGTGTTTTCACACTGCTGGATATTATTAGGTGACATGCCCCCCCCCCCTCCAGTGGATGGATTTTAGCGTAATCTTTCATTAATCATTTCAAATTGTCCACAGTATTGTAAATTGATGTAACTGATGATTAAATATGTTGGATACATGTCTTTAAAGGCTTAGTTCACCCAAAAATTTAAATTCTGTCATCATTTACTCACCCTCATGTCTTTCCAAACACGTAAGACTTTTGTTCATTTTTGGAACACAAATGAAGATTGTTCATCCATTTGACGTCTATGTAATCATAATTTTTTAAAACTGCGTATGGACATTATAAAAGTAATCTATATGAATTGAGCGGTTCAGCCCAGGTTTTCTGAAAAGACATGATTGCTTTATATAATGAACAGATTTCATTTTAGACTTTTATTCACTTACACTTTAAGAAAAGTCAGTAAAGTATAGGCCCCAATGTACTGCTAATATGGAATTTTCTAAATAGATTTTTCATAGGTGTTTTTCCCATATTTTGAATTATGCGTTGCATTGTGCTGTGTTGTAAAGTTAAAAGAAGTATCCATAAACTTAGAATAATAGAGCTTCCATTTACCATATTTGATGTGCTCTATTTATGTGCATTTATCATTGTTTTCTGTTCTTTCTTTTTTTTTTTTTTTTTAGGTAGACAAGGCTTTTCATGAAATTAAAGATTCTGAATTGCCGGTCAAACTTCTTTATAGCGATCCATGTCGGCAAATAAACAATGAGAGATGCTGTTGGGTGTCAGATATGCATAGACAAACACATTTTGATGATTACAATGAAAAAAGTGAGTTTTTTTTCTACAGTAAAAAAAGCTCTTAATATAATCAACCAGAGCAAATCCATAAAACTACTTTCTTGAGGCCTTGAAACCTTTCTTGAAATGTGATGTTTCATTGTTAATGACTCATTACTAAAATGTTTGCATGTGTTCTTTTTACACACACATGTGTCTGAGTCACTGATACTGATTTTTTTTTTATATAAATCAGAAAACATGCAGCTGCAAATAAATGACTTTGACCTCCATAATTGTAAAGAAAATAAGGAGGTCATATGACCAAAGGAACAGAAATCTTGCCATAAACTCCGCATATACAGCACTGAGTAAGAAGGTTCAAAGCTGCAACAGCATGTAAAAGCTGACATTAGTTTTTTATTGTTAATTTTCGCTGTAGTTTTCTATACAAAATTCCTAAAATTAGTCCAGATGATGTTTACTTTGGCGTCTTTCTCATTTTGTCTTCTTTCTGGTCACAATTTTTCATCTTTATGGGACTCGGGTATTCAGGTAGCTCACCCTGCTCCGAGTCCTGGCAGACCTGCTTCATTACACCTGCTTCTCTTGTTCCCCAGTTTGTTATGTTGTGGTGGAACACGTGAGAATGGGATTTGTGTCCTAAAGTGGATTTTTATTAGGGTTTCAGGGATTGTCAGATAAGGACAATAAAAATTGCTGACCTTTCTTGAAATGGGATATTTTCATCACTTTTTTTTTTTTTCATAGTCTACCAGACTTGCTCTGTCTGTTTGGTAAACAGACAACCTGTCCATTAGCACCCTGCTAGTGGCGTTGTTTCTATTTTTACTCACATGTGTATTCTTTACATGTGTTCTTTTGTTGGTGTGGACTCAGACTAGATTCAGCATTTTTGCCTTAACCCAAGTTTTTAGGTTGTCTACTGTTTTTCAGTTCTCCTTCAAGTAGTTTTCCCATCTACCCACCTCACTTACATTTACATTTAGTCATTTAGCTGACAAGTTTATTCAAAGCGACTTACAATTAAGAAACAACAAGCTTTTTATCATACAAGAACCAATAGAATTCATAGTACTGATATGATACCCTACGCAAATAGCTTTTTTACTAATGCCTTAGTAGAAGTCCTCAGTCGCAGCATGTTTTATAAGTAGGAGGAGTGAATCGTGATATAGCTTTAGTTTTTGTTTGTTTGTTTTTAAATATTTTATCTGCAGTGTTTTAATTCGCTAGTTAGATTTAGCTGTTAGACAGATTGCATGGTAAAAAACCCTTTAAACCCAGCTCATAAACATGCAGATGAGCTGTTTATCTGAGCTTTTTGTGCCATAAACGTGTTTTGAAAAAAAAATAAAAAATTCATATGTAAATGTCCCCAAGAGAAGCAGGTGATCCTAGTCAGCTGAGCCTAAAACCAGCCCAATTATTATTCAAGGCCACTTAAAACAGATTAATCAATTAATCATTATTTTATCTGCAGTGTTTTAATTCGCTAGTTAGATTTAGCTGTTAGACAGATTGCATGGTAAAAAACCCTTTAAACCCAGCTCATAAACATGCAGATGAGCTGTTTATCTGAGCTTTTTGTGCCATAAACGTGTTTTGAAAAAAAAAAAAAAATTCATATGTAAATGTCCCCAAGAGAAGCAGGTGATCCTAGTCAGCTGAGCCTAAAACCAGCCCAATTATTATTCAAGGCCACTTAAAACAGATTAATCAATTAATCAATTGGTCAACCCACCCCAGAGTACATCATTTTAGATTTTTCCCACATGCCCTTCTTTCTTACAAGATTGTATCCTGGTAAATGTATAAAAGATGTTATGTCTGCCTTCCCATTTGTATATTTGAAAGAAAAGGCCACCCAGGCTTTGCTCCCATGTCTGCAATGTTACTAAAACATCCCCATATGAAGACAAGACATTAATGACTAAACCTTCAGAAAGAGAAGCAGGAAGTAGGTGTGTTTATTTCCCGTCAGTCACAATTTCCTTTGTAAAATATGCTTTTCAGCTAGGCAACATATCTTTGTTTTGAACACATTGCCTGATGAGTGGCATCACATGCAGCCTTAGGCAATGCAATCCAAGGACAGGCCCGGTTCTAATGACCGGAATGATTTCACGAGAAACATGCGCTCAGTCCGTGACACAGTCGCTTTGTGTTTTTACTTGATATATACCAAAACTTGGCATTTACGACATATAATTGGAATAGGATTGGATGTTTTCCTTTTAGGCATGTCTCTGTTGTAGGAATAGTGAGTGTGTCATAGAGGACGGGGAAGCGAGTGACTCTTGCTCATGGGCTGTACAGCGGGAGACAGATGGGAGGAGGTAAATTAAACAAGCTGCTCTGGCCTTCTCTCCTCATTTTGACAGTGTGCCAGCCACGGTGCCGGGTCTCTGTCATTATTTAACGGCCAGCGTTAATGGGCTCTGTCTGCCTGGTTGCCCCCCTGGCTGCCAGGTGAAAGAGAATGAAATTTGAAGGGAAAAGGTGGGCAGGGTTGTGTACTTACTTGACCATGCAGTGTGTGTGTGGATGAGACAGAGTTTTCTTGTTTCCACTCAGAACATAATGGT